AGCCCGCTTCGTTCAGTGCGGATCGTCTTGATCCAGGGGCCGCGGGGGGCGAGGGGGGGCCACACCAAGGACTTGCGGGGGACTGAAGGCGGGGCCCACCTAAACCTCGCCTGACCTAAGCACCTCAATGGTCCCCGTACGTCTCCCTCGGTTCCCCCTCGAAGACCTGAGAGAAGGGAGAGGGTAAGAAGCGCACCAAAGCGCAGAGCTTGCTGCCTGCCGCACGCATGCCTGCGCGTGAGTGTGCGTGCTCGCGTGAGCGTGTGTGTGTGTGTGTGTGTGTGTGTGTGTGTGTGTGTGTGTGTGTCAGACTCTTGAGCTGAACTGGGCTATGTGCACCCCAAACTCTTCCCCACATCGAGTCCCCAGGCCTCTGGGGAGACTGTCCCAGGCCGGGTACCTGCACGCGGCCAGATGAGACGGGTCTTCCATCTGCTCAGAAATAATGTTTCTTACAGAAATGCCTCGGATGCCACCGCGGCGGTGTGGCTACCGCCCCTTAAGCTTTGGCCCCTCAGAACCCCACTTTTTCCGAGCACTTCCCTATTAGGCCTCAGAGCAGTTTGATCTGCAGGGAGAAGGAGCAGCTATCACTGAACCTGCCTTTTTTAAAAATGTATTTCCTCAGCCTCACTTTTTAAAATCTAGGTCCTGAGTTTGCCCTCTGCCCTTCCCCCACCCTCTTTTCCCTTCTCCCCTCCAAGCCTTCTCCCTTCTCTTTCAAAATCTTTTACCAGAAAGGCAGGCCTCAACCAGCCACCCCATTTCACCATCTTTTTGTTTTCTCTCTCACACATATTCTTCCCATTAGTGGTGGGAACGCAGGCTCATTTTTGCCCCTGGCCACCAAATAGGTAGACTTCAAATCTATGTATATGGTGTGTCTGTGTGTGTCTGTGTGTGTGTGTGTGTACAAACACGTACACATACACATACATATAACATACACACAATATGTATTCCTAGCAAAATAAAATCTCTAAGGTACTTGGCCATCCAGTGCAGTGCACTGGAATAAAGAGGATTTGTAGTCATATACATCTTTAAATGATTTATTTTTTATGAAAATTTTAACTGATGAAATATCTATATATGTGTGTATTATGTATATATATATATATATATATATATATATATACACACATATACACACATACACATCTCTGTCCAAATTTTCCTTAAAAGATATGGGGATTTTTGCATTAATCCATGTTGATTAATGAGGTGTATCTTTTTCATACCCCAATTTCACCTTCTTCCTGCCCTACCTCAACTCTTCTCAGGCACCCCTCCACCCCAGCCCTTCTCCACACAGGGGTGACTCTTTTGAAGTATAGTAGTAGGGAAGGTTGCTCTCTGACACAGCTTCCAGCACAGTCCTGACTGAATGTACTGTTCCCTATTCCCAGTATTTCTCCTGTGGTCAGTAAGCTGCCCAGAGAGAAGGAACAAAGGTCTGGAGTTTACAGAATGTCTGTTTTTAAAGTCACTTTATGCATTACCCACCTTTTTTTTTTTTTTTTAAGAAAAAGAAAGCACTGTTTTTTCTTTGTTTTTTTGGTGGAGGAAAAATAATACTAAACGGAGTCCAGTGAAGGGGAATCAAAGAGCAGGGGGATCGTGGATTTCCAGGTACTTGGACTTTTTGTAGAAGGAGAGAGAAGAGAGGATGAAGTTTGCCAGGAGGGCTCATATTTTTTCAACTGAGGGGTAAAATCTTTCTTTGCAGAGACAGTATTTTGCTGAATAGTTTTTATAATGTGATGATTATTAAAAACAAAATTTTGGTCACTTCAAAGCCAGAAGGAGGAATCAAATATCCTTTAATATTTTTTCCTTGCTCCTCCTGGCTTATGCATGTCACTGCATGATAACTCTGAGTTTTCCTTTGTTTTAATAAAACTGTTCTCAGACATTTAAGCTAAACTAAGAGAAAAAAATAACTTTGTTGCCAAAAGGTTGTGCTATCCAGATTTTTTATATGTCTGCATGTTTTAAAAAAAACACAGCAAAAGAAAATGCACTCTAACTTATGTGAACTGAGAGAAAAAAAAATCAGGTTTTAAACAGGAAAACCTATGGGGAATGATATTTTTTGGAAGACTTTTGTATAAAGTTGAGTACTTAGAAAAAAGACAAACCAGATGTAATATATTTTGTGGATGTTTTTATTTCTTGGATTTATAGTACCTTATACTAAGGTTACAAAATATGCTTGATATTGTGAAAAGGTGAAATTCTTCACCAACATTTCATCTGCTCCATTGTCACATTGTTATGCCAATATAATATAGTTAATGAAAACAGCATTTTTAAAAACTGAAATATTGAAATGGTGTAATGTTGTACCATTTGCACTGTGAGCAAATGCTAATACAGTAAATATATTGTGTTTGCTGACAATCAGCCGGCCTATAAATCTCCTTATTTTATTCCTTGTTTTCATAGCATAAAGTTTTGGTTTGGCCTGTTCGTTGTCTTGTTTTGTTTTTGGCTGGTGGTTGGTTTGGTAGGTTCTTATGCCTGGTTTTGCCATTCTTGCTCCGAAAATTCTCAGTGTGGAAATGTGGAATTTGGCATCATTGGAAGTTGGTCAGAATTTTGCGTGGTTCTGGTGTTTCCAGTGTTGAGTGTTCACTGTGGTTCCAAGAGAATAGAATTCCCCTCCACCCTCTGGGAGCTTCCAACTGCTGGAAATATTAGAGAAACAGATAAACTTCTGGGATTCAGGGCCAGTGGCTGGAACCTTCTGGAACCCTTCTCTCTGGTTTTCAATGGGTATTTGAGGGTAGAAAGGAGGAGATGATCTGATTTATGAACTGTTTCTCTAATGGTCACCGGGAGCACCAGAGCAGGACCCCAGAGGATCTCCACAGCCATTGTGAGTGGTGTTCTTGGTAAAACTTTTGAAGCTTGAAAAACAAGCAGAGACTTGTGAGAGGTTCTTCAAGGTTGGCCAGATAACCAGAGAGATTGGAAGCTCTTTTGTGGTCAGATAATTGGGGAAAGTTGGGTTTAATGTTCTGTAACTTCAACCCCACTTGGGCAGGATTCTCCAGGCCTCACTATTTGTAGCTGGGAAAGATGGTCTTAACTGAAAAACCGCTTTATGAACTACCCAGGGCTCTGATGCTTTTAAGAGAAGGGAGAACATTGGGGTTTCGAGAACACACAGGGAATGTTTTATACAGCATTAACCCTTCACACCTTACAACTTTGTCCCTCATAAAAGTGATGCTTCCCCTCCCTGAGCTTACTTCCCCAGAAACTTCCCTGTCCTTAACTAAGGTTATTTGCCAGCCCTAAAGCTTTCTCTTGTAGAGATATGTACCTCCCATGTTCTTCCCGTGTCCACATCTCCATCCTATCCCTTCACCCGATTTCCTATAGGCTTTAGAATCCTTTATCTCTGTGAAGCTTGTCCTAGAGCAGTCTTTGGACAAGTGAGCCCTGTCCCTCTCCCCTTCTCCCTGCCTCCCCTCTAAAACACCCACCTGGGCTTCTTTTCCATGCATTTCCCTATCTGCCTTAGCAGAGGTTAGGGGCGTGGTGTATGAGACTGAGCTATGTAAATGTAGCACTGCATCTGACTGGGAGGCACTGTCTGTGCCTGAGACCCCAACCAAGTCAGCCACACAGTGACAGAAATGTAGAGCATCACTGCTCAGAAACCGCTATTGCTGCCCCAATGCAGGCCCATCACAGTAAAAAATGCGGGTGGTATTTCTGGTTGGCTGTAGTTACCAAGAAGTTGAGGGCAGACTTGGGTGGAGGAGGTGGGCTGTGGCTTTAGAAAAGAATGTTTTTGAAGTGAGAGATCAATAAAGAGAATGCAGTGTGGAATCTTAAAGTTTCTCACCCACACAATTCTAGGTCACTGGCTGCCATCTTGAATTCTCTTCTCTCACCTCATGAAACTTGCAAAATTTCAAACTACAACTTTATGTACAGCCACAAGGAGGTGTCCTTTTTTTTTTTTAACAAAGAGAATACAAGATGGCCAAAAAGTCCTAGTGATGGAGCATATAATCCATTTCTTTGTTAAACTAGATTGTTCCTTCCAGATTTCTATGTGTTTTTTGAATGAATATTATCAAAGGAAGATAGTGTCACTGGGTGTCTTCTTAGTTAGCATCCAGCCTCGCCTACATCTTCTCCAATCAAACCAGGCCTTCAGAGTTGCACTTTCGTCAACAGTGTACTATGCTGCATGATTAATAAACTCACTTCCCATTGGTGCATATTACTCAACCCAACCTGGTTCAACCACTGGGTTACTTGGCAATATGGAAGCCCGTCTAGCTGGCACCAGCCTGTGTGGTGTAATCTCTGATTCACACTTTGTAGCTAGATAAGGCTGCCTTTGATGGCATCACTCCAGCAACCCAACCTGCCTGGGTTTGTAAATATGGGGAAAGGAAACTCAATCTGAAACAAAGGGATGAGGTGGAGAGATGGTGGAAGAAAGGCCTGGCTGGTAGAAGAAGGGGCTCAGGAGCGAAATCAGGCATTTATACATAAAAGAGGTAGAGGCCTCAATCTTTCCAAGCAACCCCTAAGGTGTTTGGGGATGAATGAAAGGATACCCCACATACATACACACATATCTTGAGAGTGGCATACTGAAGGCAATGACTCCACAAAATTGTACTCAATGAACTGAAGTTAGATACAAATGAGGAGACACTTTGTGAGAACTGGGGGCAAGGAGTGGCATGTTTTTATATGGTGGTGGTGGAGGTGGTGGTAGTGATGGTGAGTATGTCTATTATTCACAAGTATATAAAAAGCAATAGCAAGGTGGATTCTGGTGAATGAAGGCAGTATCTTATGGCCAGTCACTACTGCTCCCCTTTTGCTAGTCTACAATTTGCCTGCTATAGATGAGGGGGTTGTGAGTTGCCTTTTCCTGGCCTTGATTGGCTCTCCTGGTGTCCTGGAATAA